AGAGACGCCCAATCCTCATTGACTTTGCTGCGGCCTCAACGGGGCCGCTCACGGGTGGACACCACACGAAAGAAACGATCTGCCGGGATTCGAGAGGTTAGTGGAGAGGGAACGTGAACCGGGACAAGGGTGCATGTCTCATCTATATCGTCGCCCATGAGTCGACAGCCCTCCTCGGGGCATCCCTGATCGTGGATAGTGTAGAGCGGGGGGCCGATGCCGTCGCTGGGCGGACCAAGACTCCAATCTTGGTGACGCCAAGGCTAAGCCGCTTGAAACCACAAGTCAAACAATTCGTACCCATCAGTGCGGTCCAACCCTAACCGTATAGATTCTAGAAGGGAGAGAGGAGGGAGCTAGCAGATCAACTCCAGTCTCCAGGTGTATCGCCAGGCCTCGACATCGCAGCAGAAACACTTACAACACTCAGAACCCCCTTTGCACAGCCCATCATCTCCTGCTCCCGATACGGTGGACATCTTGACTCGGTGATGTCGTAGGCGATGCTAGTCATGGATACCAACCTGAGAACGACCGGAGTGAACTCTGTGAATATCCTCTGTCCCTGTAACAGCCCGGTTTCACTGAGTTGCACCACTGCCTCTATCCGTCTTCCATCTCGTACTGTCTGTGAGTATCGTCGCTGATCTCGGTCTCTCTCCACCATCAGGGCTGGCGAGCCGCCTCTTCCAACTCCCCAGCTGCGCAGCATGCATCCGCGGGACGGCGACGCTCACCTGCCCGTCTGGCTCCTCACCCTCCGAAGGGAATACAGGATAATGCGGGTGTATGTGTGTGTGTGTGTGTGTGTGTGTGTGTGTGGTTCAGCCCATTGAGCGGACTGCAGGAAGACTCGAGGGAAGCCCCCTGCCAGAAACCACCCGACTGCGCAATGTATATTTTTGAATCTTTTGGCCGTGATCTCGCACAGCCGTATACATTAAACCAGGAAACACCTCATACAGACGGCCAATCAGCCCATGGTTCTTGTGCGTATTGGTGGAGCAGGAGCTGCGCACTAACGTCTGCAACCCCGGCTGTTCATATATTTCCAGGAGTCGCCGCCTTCGCGGGGTCCGCCAAGTCTAGAATCTCGCATGTTGGTGCAAGAACAAACTGGGCAAAGGCTGGCTGGACGCACGATTCCTCTTCCCATCCTTTCCCTTCGCCTCTACTTTCCCCGTCCCTGTTGGTGGATCGTGGATTGAGTGTTTGCGTGTGTGGTGTGTGTTCACTCTCTGGTGTGTGTGCCTCTTCTGCAGCCTCTGCTTATGCCTGGATATTGCCCGTCCCTGATCCTGCGCCGCCCTCCCACTTTCTCCTCATCTCTCTTTTCCTGCAAGCTGACTCTTTTTTTTGATTAGCCCAGTCAGTCACCCACGCTCTTTTTACCTTTTTGACTTTCCCGTTCCCGCGCCTGGTCGCTTTTGCCTTCATTTGGTTCGTCTTTTTGTTTCTACTTCATCCTCGCCTCTCGCCCTTCCATCTACTGTCCCGTGCCGTGTGAGTGTTCGCCTCCGCACGCCGCCCGCCGCAGCCAGCCCGACGTCCGAACACCACCACTCCCTACGAGACTCCGAACAGCCTCTTCAAACCACGATTCAGAGGTTTGAGGCTTTACAGCCCGGCCGAGAATGTGACGATGGACTTCTACTCACGAGCCACAAACGACGGACCCGTACATACTTTTGTTAACCCTTTCGTCGAATTGAACGCAGGGTTATGGAGTTTATTTGCTGGTGCGACCGTTTTCCTCGCACTGCGCCTTTGGTGTAAGATCACAAGACGACACGGACTGTGGTACGATGATTATATTCTTGTGATATCTTGGGTGAGTTATACCCCTCCCCCGACCAGCACCACCAAGCAACTTGAACGTGTTCACGACTATATTATTTGCGATGTTCCGAAAAAGCACAACTGGTCTCTCCTTCGCGGACATGTTTGCCTGCCAGTTGAGTCGATGTAGTCTGACTGACAACCCCGACTAGTCACTTTTGCTGGCCAACAACATTTTGATTGTTTACGAGTTCGCGACCGGCTATGTACTCAAGGACTCGTCGGAACAATGGGATGACCGCATGCACATCCTCATCAACATCTCATCTTGCGGCACTCTCATCGGACAAGCATGGACCAAGTCGGCTTTTGGTGTCACCCTCATCCGAATGAGCAACCAATGGCAGCGATGGGTTCTTTATTTCTGTATCGTCACGATGAACGTGTACATGATCGCCAAGGTTGTCGTTCAGTGGGGGAAAGTTTGCGGCAGCAAGAGTTACGACGGCGACTACCGACTGAATTTTTGCCTCGAAAAGAAATTCCGCGACGACTTCAAGGAGGGTGGAAATGGTAAGTTTTACCTGATGGTCGACAGTTCAAGTCTCATCTCATTCTCACTTTACGATCTGTGACTGACTCGTGCATGCAGTATACAACATCATCATGGACTTCGTCTTTGCGTGCTTCCCCTGGTTGATCACCCGATCGCTGGAAATGAGACGCGCCGAGAAGGTTGGTCTGTGTATCACGATGAGCTTAGGAATGATGTGAGTTTGAACCATTTTCATGATATTGGCAGGAAACTAACTCTTCTCAGTGTCGCCATTGTTGCCGCCATCAGAGTCAGCTGGAAGGATGAGGGCAACGGTCGTGATCAGTGGTATATCTGTAAGCCAAGTCAACCCAATCTTGATGAAATCTCGCATATCGCTAATACGATCTGATTACAGGGCGCAATGGCCTGTCCCAAGTCTGGTGAGTAGTATTTTGAGGAGCCGAGTTCCGTGCCATCTCCACTCAAGGACGCGTTCGCTAAGATTACACCAGGTACTCGTCGGAAATTACCGGCACCATCATTGTGCAGTGCATCCCCATTCTGCGCCCAATCCTCAGGGAAATCCACACGTCCCTGACCTCTAAGAGACTGGAGTCTACCGCCGGCGGCCAAAGCACAACCTTCGGAAGCAAGCTCAGCAGTGGCAAGCGGATATCGACGGGCGTGATGCAAAACGACAAGCAAGGAAACGAGCGGATCGCGCTCCGTGAGATCCCCGAGGAGCCCGCCGACGACTCACCGTACTGGAAGCAGGACCCCGCCCGCTCGTCCGACTCGACGACATCGCCGTCCGAGACCGACTTCAAGCCACGCCCGCCCACCGCGCCGCTGCCCGACATGTGGCCGCTATCCGGAAACGAGAGTGCGGATCTAAACGGGTCTCACTCTGGCAAGAGCTTGGATTTCGAGCACGACCCCCACACCATCTCTCACCTGGATGTTGAACAAGGCCATGTTCAGCAAGGATTATCGCCACCACCGCCCCGCAGGTTTCCTTAGCAATGATTAGGAACGAGAAGAAAGAAACGATGTCAAGATTATTTCACAAAAAAGGAGGCAGTAGCAGAACGAGGACTCATCCCCATCCGGCAGATGTAAATGGACTCTTCACCTCGGCAGAGAGATGCCAGACGGCTTCGAGAGTCATGAGAACATAGAGAGAATGAGCGAGTAACAGAGGTCTCTTCATCACGCCCTACCCACCTCCATTTCTCTGCGCCAGCAAACCCGCCATATTGGATTAACCGTCCCTGTGGCGGCTTCAATCCGGGGCCCAGGGTTAAAACCAGACCCTTCGACCCGAGTTACGACGGCCAGCTACCATATCACTTTTGTTGCGCAACACGACACGACTCTTTCTCACTCACTCACTCATGCACCACGACGATCATCGAGACCGGCGCGGTCTCAACTCATGACAACAACTCACGTCGCTGGGATATGAAGCTTTCCTCAGGGAACATCCTGAGGGAAAAAAACTGGAGTTCACGGAGGGGAGGGTACTTGGGATGTGGGGGAACGCAAATCCGGCGAAAATAAGCCCTTGTATATTACTCGCGTTATTTGGATTGGCAGCGGAAATTGTGTGTATACTTTTGACGATTGGGCATCAAGTTATCCCAATCAAGTACATAGTTCATCATCATCATCATCATCAACAAGAACAGGTTACATATCTTGCTGGAAACATCTCGTTCCGTTTCGGTCGCCCCGTTTAGTGATGATTGCCTCTCTCATAATTTGGCCCCCTTTGCACATCACGCCTCCCCTAGTCCGAGGCTGAGCATAACGTTGAAACAACGGTCCGGGGGCGATCTCTGGAACGGTGAACCTGGGAACCTAGCCGTGACGAGACTTGCCAAAAACGTGACATGCTGCACCCCAGTTGCGCACTTTGTGGTCTACAGGGTTGCGACCTGCTGGTCTGTGGTGGAAATGGCTATGACATCAAAATCCTCCGATGCTGCAGTCACTCAAAAGAGTTAGTGTGGCAGCTGTCTTGTCAATCAGCCACATGCAACCACACCGAAACTATGAGTTCAATACATGCGACCGTTGGAGGAAAAGGGCCAAGCCGCAAAGTGTCAATTGAGAACATGTTCGTCTGTAATGGTCTTAGTCCCGTCAATTGGCCAATACTTCAATTGCGATGAAGAAGGCTCTGGGCGATTTGACAAGCTCTTGATAAGTTGATGGGGTACTCTAGCGTGACTGACGTGCATTTGTCTCTCATCGGGCTAGCCAGGGGATCACTTAGAGAATACCTAGGTACGGAGTACCTTACATGGAGAATCCGGGATGCTGATCAGCGCAACGCTCATCTGAGTCCATAAGAACATAGTTGATGAGATACTCGACACGTCTGCGGCAGTTGAATGGCATAGACATCCACGATAATCAGCTCCGGAATACTGGTAATCCGCCTGCGAGCTGCGACTGACAAAGGGCCCGGTATCGCGATGCCGTCCGACCGGCACAAGTCACGCAGAATATTTTTCCACGTTGGCCGGCCCAAACCTCGTGGCTGGGCACCAAACTTGAGACAAGGAAACACGAGTAATAACGCGCGGCGATTATGAGAATGCTCAAGCCTTTTCCCCCGAAGATTGTCATAAGATGTTGCACATCATAGCCACCCCAAGAACCAAACCCGTGGCCTCCCATGTTTGATCGTCTGTATAAGCTTGTTAGAACATCGCGTGCGCGCGGCGTTCAATATGTGATACGCCTTATGTTCCTCATCGCGAGCAAGGGTCGGTCGTTCAAAGGGGGATGTGTGGCAGGGCTTGGCTTGAACCTGCGACAGGTGCGAGCGATCCGTGCCCACGCCGCCCACGCTGCCCACGCCGCCCACGCTGCCCACGCCGCCCACGCTGCCCACGCCGCCCACGCTGCCCACGCTGCCCAAGCTGCCACTACGCGGACAGAGTGTCAAGATGACTTGGACGAACGACATCTGATGGGTTCTTTTCAGACGAAGATGGAACGACTGGACTTGGACGGAGACACGATACGCTACTCCCACCTTCCCGATGGGCAGTATTCAGGCCGGTTTCAAGACCCTGTGTTGAACAAAAGTATGGTGTTGCACCGTTGCATGCTCTGTCCGTGGAGAATTACACGACAATGCGCACTAGGGACGTGTCAAGAACCAGAACAGCCCCAATGGGTACGAACTTCGAAGATACCGGAGGATACACATGCCAGATTTCTTCGGGGTAAGCGGAGTGGTTGATCACTTGATGGGACCGAGTACCTAATTGAAATTGCTTGGCTAACTGCCTCGGCTTTCGAAATTCTCTCACCAACATTCGAGCACTAGACTACTACTTTAGTCAAAGCTCTCGAGTTCTCCAGCATTAGAACATGCATACACCTAGTAGAGGCTTTCTTTGCAACTCGCTTTTCGGAGTTGCCAACTGCCAACCAATGGCTTCTGAAGCCTCAGTCACAAGGTGATAGGTCCAGCTACACGCCTCCCTTGTCCAAAGCTCAAGCTATCGTTCCGACACAAGGATCCTCCCGGCGCCACACTTAGGGACAATCTTTACCTTTGCTATTGATCTTAATAGCCTCAGTCTAAAGATAGCTAGGTTGGCTACCTAGTAAATATGTGTGAACTCAATACAAGTTGTACGACCTTCGGAGTTCCCATATCACAGTTCCCATTCACACTCAAAAACGGCCCACTGTTGCAATTCATTTGATCCGACGATACGTGGACTCGGCCGATCAACAATTCGCAGTCGCACTCATTCAGCGGCGGGGAAGTGCGGTGAAAATATGGGACCTTTAGATGGATATCGCGCCATTCCGGGGTGCTGGAAAGATTATTGACGGGCAGAATATCCGAATGCCGATTCAGTACCAGAGTTCAGGACAGCTTCAAAGAAACTTCACCCGTCCATTCTTGGCAATTTACACACTCTCAATCAACTCCTTTGAAAATGTCAGCGGCGTTAATTCCACACACAGATGAAGGACATGACTCAACAACTCGTCAAAGCGTATCTTGAATATGATCCTCTTGCATTATACCGAGTCAACCGACGAGAGCTAAGAAAGGAAGCTAACGCAGACGATCCTAATCATCGGGACGGCCCCAGCAATGGTTCCCACTATCCAGATTAAGTCCCCCAAAGTTAAAAGTTGAGCTAGCACGCCCGACTCCATGGTAAGCACGTCAGGCGCTGATAAATTGATAGGGTTCCAGTATTCATGACCATGTCCTCTGGGCAGATATTTGGCGATGTATCTTCTGCCCTCGTCCGCCGGAACTGCCGTCGGCCACGTCACGGCTCAGCCGAGCACCAGAACGCGTGCTTTGTATGTACTTTAGGGCATCGTCAACTTGAAAGAAACGCTCTTGCAATTACAGTCCTATTCTTACGTCGGCACGAGACGAGAAATTCATCTGGGTAAGTCAGTGACATCTTGGCGGGTGGTTTGTTAGAATGATGTTGGTGTAATTGAGCCTCGATGGAATTCGGATATTTCCAGCTGGGCCTAACCCCGATACATTACTTTCAAATCCGGCTTGATCATGGGACTAAGCCATTGTGAAAGTTCACTTCGGACTGATATCATGAGATTCGAGCTCAAGTAGAACTCACATTATCGTAATAGTACGCTAAGGTAGCATTGCATTAACATTTCGCAATCGCCGGCATTCTTTGCAATACTTGGATGTACCTCTTGAGGCTTTTGAATCCTGACTGCATAAGCTATTAAGAGCTAGAGTAAAGGTATCTAGAAATGATATGCGAAGGGATCTCGGACTTTAGCGCAAGATTACACCTAAACCTTGCTAGAAAAAGAAAAAAAGGGAAAACCAAACAAGACCAACAAAGGAAACTCTCAATAATACCGCTCCTTCCGACTTACATCTAGCTTCCTCGTATGTGTTGTTTCCTCAAATGCTAGTTGAATATTGCGTTTATCGTCAGACTCCGCTCTCACTACCTTCGCCCACACCTTGTCAGAAGTGACACCAGCCCCAGCATCTGTCAGATCTTCATCGGTTGGAGGCGGCGTCTTGAGTGCGAGTATCATCAAGTCTTGCAAATCTGACCATGGTATTACGCTCAAGACCCGAACTCGCTCTCCACCTGATTTGACCTTCAAAAGCTCCAGCACGTATCCAGTTCCAACTGTCGCGGCGTAGAAGGCAATGATGCCGAGGTAGATCAGCATCATCACCTGGGCAAATTCTAACGTTTTGCGGCCTTGTCCTGAACCGTATCCGTAGCGCTCCGCAGTGAAATTGATCGGTAAAGCTGTGTTGAGCACTTCAGTGAAATCTGCAAAAGTTGTGTTGCGCCAGGTTGTCCTGTCCCTCCACTCATCCTGAAGATGGGTGTTGTTGTAAGGTGTAATTTTGTGAACACCTCCACGGTAGCCATGTTGCTCGTTCAAGTCGAGATAAGTCACCTCAGTGTCGGTACTGTTTAGCTTGATCCTTGTCCTTTGTTCCAGACTGTTCCGTGCTAGGCCCTCGGCAAGGTAAACTCCAAAGACTTTGGCCAGGAATATTTCTGATGCTGTGTTATTCGCACCATCGACAGGGGCCAAAACTTTCACCTCTTTCCCATTCAGTGTCTCCTTCATGGAAAAGTTGAGGATAATTTGATTGATACCCGAGGTGGTGGCCGTGGTTGAGGTATTCCAGTGTGGGTTGAGCGATCTGAACCAATTCGATCTGAATCTTATAACATGGATATCGTCGTGGCTCTTGCTGCAATACATGTCTCGCATGCTTTTATCGTTGCTAAATGTTGATTGAAGACTGTCACTGATGCTCGGATCCATTGAGAAGTTGGACGGCGCCCAGCTTGCATACAAGCTACAGATATAGACCAAGTTTCTCGATTCCCCCGATGTTGCGTCGGGGACCATTCCGTTCAGGTACACCACAGATGAGTTTTCTTTGCCCAAAAAGAAAGTGCTTGAGGCTGAGATGTTTTCGAGGTCTTCGTTGTGCAGCCATGCCGACTCGTTGAACTGCATAGGGTTCTGTTTGGATTGGAGACAATCAGCGTCATCAAAGCAGTTGAGGAACTCAGTTGGAAAGCTGACAGATCCTGGAGTATTCTCCAAGTACCCTTTATCGTGTATTGTACATCTCGATTGTACAAATGGCTGATACAACCCTGGCCCTTCTCCAGTAGGTGAATTGACATTGGCGCCTCCTTTGGCTGTAAGTCGATAGCGCGGCTCACTGGATAGGGCACCAACGTCGGAGCTGTGGATAAAATTCTGGAAGAGGCCAATACTGGTCATAAGGAAGTGCGATGGGGTTGTGGTAAGCGTAGTCGAGGGGGTGTTGGGTTTGTCGTCGGCTTGCGTGAACACTAAATGGCGCCTGATTTCTAATGATGTTGTCGGATTAGAAGTCCAATTCGACCTCGAGGCAAGGGGCCCGCACAGGGGCCACTTACAGACCATACTTATAAGATCTATAGTCTACCCAACCTCCAGTTAAAACCTCCTTTTTACACCTTACGTAGAAGTTAAATATATATAGATTTTAACCTCTTCGTTACCTACGGTTCGAACTATCCCTATAATAGAAATACTAACACTAATTAATAATTAAATCCCACTATCGCAAATTAACAAAGCATCTCGTAAATAAAAGAAACGACCTCCTTAAACAAAACGCAATAAAAAAATCGTACTACCTACCTAACAAAAAGTAGGTAATAAGACGTAAATCTCTACAATAGAACAAAGTAGAGGAATCGTAGCCCTTAATTACTTATAAAAGATCGACGTCTATCATATCAAAAACAAACCGTAATTAAAGGAATTGTAAAAAAGCAACTAAGCTACTTATATCGCCCTTACACGATTTATCCTATTCAATAATCTATAAGCGGCCTATACGCTAATAGAGAAAAACAAATAAAATTACTAAATTCGCTAGATTAACAAATCCACCGTAGATCTCGACCGTATAACAAAACAGGCCCAATTAAAGGATATAAAAAGGCACTTTAGGACCATAAAAACAAACTTTTAAAGTAATAGGGTATTTAAGTAAGAACCAGACCCCGCCGGTAGCTCCAGGCATATTTCTTAATTAAATCCGAGGAAGCTACCAGGATCGATAGCAATATCGCTATTATCAAGACCAACTTTAAGATTCTAAAGTCAAGCTTCCCCTTCTCACCTATACCCACTACCCCTCGGCTATTCTAAAAAAATAAAAGCCAGGCGGAATTAAAATAAAGAAGAAAGGAATTTAGAAACATCATAACGCTCACCCTATAAAGAGGTATAAAGTACCTAATTCTTTAAATTATACATCCTTACCGAGCTATAAAAATAAAGAAAAAGCCTATTACCCTAGTTAGTATAAAAAAAAGCTAAAAAGACGTTTAAAAAAAGAACACAAAAAAAGGGCCACCAGAAGACCTCTTTTATATAATAAAGTACGCCATAAGAAAAAAAAACCGTCAATAAAAAACATAGCGGCCAATTCAAAAAACTAAAAATAAATAATAATAAAGCTCGCCGCAAAAAGGTTAGAGGCCATAAGAAGCTCCTAAACCCCGACAAACACGGCAAATAACAACAATACACTACTACTACAACTAATAAGCAGATTTAATACATCCCTATCAAGATCAAACACGCCGGCCCCTACAAATAGAAATACAAGCCAAAAAACAATAAAGGGCAAATTAGCACACAGAACGCACAAAAGGACTCCCATCCCAAAAAATTAAATTAAAATTAATCCAGAATACTAAGGGAAATAGTTATATCGAAACTCAGACCACCCCAATAACGAGCAAATTAATACGGCATTAATCTTCATTATAAAAATATACGCCCACAAAAAGCTCAAAGGGCAACCCCTATTCTACAGAGTCATAAACAACCTAAGCAACTAAAAAGATAAATAGTTCGCCAGCACTAATCCCGGTATCATCAAAAAGGTAAACAGATTCCTTTACTATCGAGGCGTTCTACTAACCCAAGGGGCAAAACAAAAAGCCCACAAAACACTCGCAGCAACAATAACCACAGAGGACTTCACGCCATAAAACCAGAATTAAATCGACAGAATAATATTAAAATATAAAGAATTCAGCAGACAAATAAACCAACCGGACTTTCTACTAAAGATCACCAACAATAACATCGCAGCGCCCAATCTAACGCAAACAAGAGGGATCACACTGGAAGCACATCAAACGACGATTCTACCCATCGCAATAATAACCCCAACAACAATACCAATCCGAAGATTAATCCCAAGCACCTAACAAAGTACAAGGTCGACAATACAGACACCACCCAATTACACTACCGCACAAAAAACACGCAAAAAGAACGATCCAACAATAACCAACACAAGACAGTTCATTAACCTAAAAAAGATCTTTCCAAAAAAGAAATTATACTCAGGGAGGAAATATAAGGTCCTATAAAAAACCCTTACAATATTCTATAACTACTACAAAAAAGTCAGTATCCGAGAACACCAATATCATTCAATAATTAATATCATACTAACAAGGAAAGCTACCAAGTACTACTATCAAGCAGTACATAATATCGATCAAACCGACTTTCTCAACATCGTTAACACAATCCAAAATCAATTTAAAACCCAAAATAAGAGCCTCGAGCTCCTCTCGGAACTAAAGGCATTATTATTTAGCTCTATAACCAAAATAATAAAACAAAAGTCAAGAATTAAAATCCTTAAGGAGCTTATCGACAAGATCAACAAACTAACAAGGACGTAGCCAAATAAAGGGACCAATAAATAAAAAATCGGTTATCTATATACGGCAATATAGAAGGTACTAAAAACAAAAATAACTCTACATCAACCGCCTAAGGACTACAAAACACTATACTTAAGGCTAAAGTCCAACTTTAATATCAAAACTAGGATATTAAATTAAACTTACCTCTAATCTCACAAAGGCCCTCACCAACAACACTAAATAGACCGCACGTACAATAGCAAAAAAAAAGAGGTAAGGTATAATAACCGCTAAAGGGGAAGAACAGACTCCTTAAAAGGGCACTAATCTAACACTAACCAAATACCATAAAAAAAATACTTTATATATAAAAAAAAAGGTTATTAATCAAATAACTACTCTAATAAAGAACGTACTAAGTCGTACGACCAATATAAAAAGACAAAGGGCACATAAGGCAAAACGGGCCATAATCAATTTAACCAATTCCTAATAGTCTATAAGGACTATCTAACAAACGCAATCAAATCGTCTAAAAATAAAAAAGATCTTACCCTATACACTCAAGACCTTAACTTCGACAAAATTAACGATATCACCCATTCTTTCTTCGCCCTATCAACCTTAAAAAAATATATAATACTAAATAAATAAAAAGCGGTATAAACCCTAAATAAGCAGGCTTTCCTCCATAATTAACAAGGGAAGGTCCCTCAACTAACGACAATACTTAATAGTATAGGGGACACAAATACTAATACCGCAGCCATAGCTCGCACTAAGATCAAAAGGCCTAAAAAAGAAAAAAAAACAATAGGCTTACAAGCACGCAATTTATACCCACCAAAAGGGTTCTATAATAATCCAATATAAATATTCCATACCAGCAAAAAATATAGCTCGGAAACCTTCTATAAGATTATTCTAAATACCAGGGCATCACAATAGTCGATAAGAGGCAAAGGACAATTCCATACACTCCAAAAGATCTCACCAATAACCCTCAACACTACAAACGCAGGCATTACGAAGATCAGTTTTAGCCCAAGAGAAGAGATAAGTACCTTAGGTACTATAGATATAAATACACAATTCAGAACGATAATTTTCCATATTCTACCCATTAATATACCATTCCTCCTATACCTAAACAACATAAATAAATTAAGCATTATATTTAACAACACAAAGAATAAAATATCCAATAAAAAGCACTCTAAGCTCGTCGATTAACAATAAGGGCACGCATTTATAAAACTTAAACTAAACGTTAAGTCTATCAATTACTTAACGGAAAATAAACTCAAGCGACTACATCAATAATTCGGCCATCCATCGGCAACGAAACTATACAATCTCCTCAAACATTCAGGAAACGATATAAAAATAAAGGCTCTAGAGCAATTAACAATAATATACCACCAATACTAAATAAACACCTAGAGCCCGCACAGATTCAAGTTCAAATTACACAACAACCTCAACTTCAATTAAAAAATCATCATTAATATCTTTTATTTAAATAATCAACCAATACTCCATATAATCAATAAAGCCACATCATTCTAAAGAGGCCAATTCCTTCAAGATATATAAGCCAAGACCGTATAAGCAACGCTAAAGCACTATTAAATCAATATATACTAAGGTCCACCAAACAGCATCAGAACCAATACCGGCACCAGCTTCAAATCGGCAGAATTTAAGGAAAATACCACTTCATACAGCATCCAACTAAAAGTCGTCCTTATTAAAGCGCACTACAATATTAATAAAGTAGAAAGATCATACTAGCAGTTAAAAAGAGCTTTTAAGATTATCTAGGAAGAAAGCCCTAGTTCAACGGACAAAGAATACCTCTAGACGGCACTTAAATACTATAATAATACTATAGGACCTAAGGGGCTCGTTCCAACGCTACTTATATTTAAAGTATACCTATAAACGACAACGGCCTCACTACTATCACTAAATATAACCTAGAAAGCGCAAACAATTAAAAAAACAATAAAAACTTTCCGTAAAGTAAATATTAAAAGGCAAATCAACAAAGCCATTATTATACGCAATAAGCCTAACATAAGCCTCAACCTTAATATACCCCTAAATTTAGAAATATAAGTATAAAGGGAAACTATAAAGTAATAAATAGGCCCATATAAGTTAATCTTAATTAACGAACGATCTTATATCGTCGCAAAAGATCAAGACTAACTATTAAAAATATCGATTATTATAGTATAACCGTACTACATCGACCCTAGCAAAATAATTTCTAACCCATAAAAAAAAAAAAAGCTAAAGGAACTACCTTAATAAAGCAATAAAGGATAATTAAATAATAAAGGGTAGGAAACCATCCTCAATAAGATCATTATTACAGCACCCTCAAATAATAAAATAAAAAAAGAACTAATACCCCCACTACAAATAAAATGCCGAAGAAGACCCTAAAAAGTACCTTAATAGCAATTCATATTTAATACTAAGGCTACTACTATCTTCTACATAGTTAAAAAAAAATAGACTTCACAATAACGGTTAAACTAAAAGAACAAAAGATAATCATAACTATAAAACGACTATATAAAAGCTCCGACCTCATTAAAACCGACATACTATATAATCAAAGGGTCTACAAATTCATCACCTATAACCCAAAAAAGCATACGAACCTCTATATCTTTAAATTACAAATAATCTACAAAATAAAAAAAAAAA